TCTAATCTAACAGTAGCAGCCTTTGAGGTAGCCAGCCATCTCAGACTCCCTTCTGTGCAAAGACTCTTTTCACCTCCTTTTCACTCTGAAAAGTGCTTTTTACTTTCAGTGGTATTAAAACCCCAAGAGCATTAGTATCCCTAATCTTCCATTTCTTTCCCTGTTTTATTTTTTCTGTTTCTAGACAGAGCAGGATATGGCAGAGGAGCCTTTGCTCAAGTCAATTAATATCCCGGGACCTCGGTTTCCTGAACTGCATAAAGGTTTCATTAGACAGTCTTTAGATCTAGTCTTCACACTTTCCAGAGTTTTTGGGTGTTCAGTTGAAAAACAAAATTGGTTCCCAAAATACCCCTTTGTGGTCCATGGTCCAGGCGTGCGAACCTGCACTTGTGCAGCATAGAGCCATTCCTTTCGGGGTCCCCACAGGGGACTGACATGCCTTCTCCGGTCCCTTCTACTTTTTTCTGCCAGAAATCACCACTCGTGTCTGCGAGGTAAAATCTGCCTAGAGCAGGCAGAGATGGAGAAAGTATTCTAACAACGGGGGATCAAATGATTGGTCTGCGGGAGAACGCTGAAAGGAGACCCCAGAATCGCGGCCCGGAAACTACTGGAGAATCAGACTCTGAAACTCGAGAGGGACGACGAAGCCACCTTCCCTAAAAGAGGGAGGAAACAGGCAAACACAGACGCAGGCAGGACAAAGCTCCGAAACCGCGACTGAGCACCTGAGCGGAAGGGGCGGAGTCAGACTTCCGGGGCGGGGCCTAGGTGGGCGCAGGGGAGGGGCGGGCCGGGCCGGCTCTCCAGCGACCTGTCCTCTCGCTCCTCGTCCAGCTGGCCGTGGTCACGGTCGCTCGGCTGAACCAGAGAGGCCCGGGCGCCCCGCCTGGGAGCTCGCAGGAAAGCGCGCCGGTGCTCTGTTCGCCACTCGGGATCCGTGGACTGGGCAGCGAGAGGCCAACGGTCGCGGCCTCGGCGACCCTCGCGTCTCCTAGCAACGCGTGGCGCCACTCCAGCGTCCAGCTCACTTAGGCTCCGCCCCCCGCGGACAGGCTCTTGTGCGCACGCGCCAGGATTGAGCGGTGCGGCGGGCCCAGTATGGCCAGTCCAAGTTGGTCCTTCGGTGGGAAGGAGTCTTGCAAAGGCTCATCCCTAAGCAGAGGTGGAGAGTGAATCGTTATTTGCTGCTGCTTCAGTCGCAGGCAGAATTCCCTAAAAAAGCGGATCAGAGAACAGAGACCATTGGCGATTCTGGTCCCTGATAGTAAAATCTCCTAACTGTCCCATCCCTTGTTTCATTTTGTTGGGATTAAAGGAACCAATCCATACAGTCGAGCGTAGTGCCTGAAAATTAGTAAACTTACAGTAAACATCTACAATAGACATCTATGGCTTTATCTTTTTCTAACATTAATTATTATATTTACAATACTATCTATTTACTTACAACTCCCAAATTTATTTCCTCAGCCCAGATCTCTCTCTGAACTCTATCCAACGTAGGCTTGGTTGTCCAAAACAACCTCCCTCCAAACGCCCCCACTCCCCCAACCTGCTCCTTCACAGTCTATCCCTTTCGGTAAATGGCCCCTAGAGACCGCTCTTTCTCTTACCTTCCAGATCCATCCATCAGCAAAACCTGTTGGCTTTACTGCTTCCACCCAAGTCCAAGCCACCATCATTTTCCCCTCTCTGGTTTGTGCAATAGCCCCCAACAGGTCACTCGTCCCCCATAGTCTATTCTCAACACAACAATCAGTGCGATCTGTTTAAAGCATGTTAGATTCTGTCACTGGTCTGCTCTCAATCCTGCAATGGCTCTCCATCTTACAGGGTAAGAACGGGAGCCTTTACAAGGCCAACAAAGCCCTACAAGCTATGCACAGAACACCTCCTTCCTTGCTCTGTAGCCCCAGATCACTCGTCTGCAACCGCACTGCCCTCCTGACTGTTCCTTGATTAGCTCCCTCGTTGAGGCCTTGTTTGCAGCTGCTCCCTCTGCAGGGAATGGTTTTCCTCCAGTTTTCCCTTTGGCTAACTTCCTCGTCTTCACGTCTCTGTTAATATCTCAACTTGCTCATCCCCATCCTTCTATATTTCTCTTCCATCATCGGGTCTATCCCCCTTACTATGTTCTACTGTTTTTTTTTTTTCCCTAGCACGTATCACCTTCTAATATACTATTTAAATTGCTTATTTCTTAATTTTATTGTTTATCTTTTGCAGGACTGTAATTCTCATAAAGACATCTTATTAACTAAGATGCCTACTATTCAACAATAGGTTGCACCAACAGTCCACCTGAGTAGGTGCTAAAGCCATATGTAGCGAATAAATATGTTTTACCACCATCACCGCCAGTGCCACCATGATGCTGTGGATGCAGTATAGCGTGGTGGCTAGGAGCGCAGCATCTATGGCATGACTTTGGGTTTGAATCTGGGTTCTATTTCTTACTAGACATGATCTTGTACAAGTTACAATCACAGTTTCCTTAACTGTAAAATGAAGACAAACTGTACCTCTCTGATAGAGTTGTTGTGAGGATGAAATAATAAACGTAAACCATGTAGCACAGCACCTGGAACAACGTAAATGATAGATGTTATTTCCACTAGACTGTACACTCCATTACCACGCAGGTATTTCTCTGCTTTACTCGCTGCTGTATCTTTAGTGTCTAGAACAGTGTCTGGCTCATAGCGGACGGTCAAGGACACTCGGTTGAGTGAATAAGTGAATCCTCACCATCACGTTTCCTGGAGTATTGTGGCAGCTTCCTTCCCACACTGCCTGCTCCAGACTGCTTGAGCGTTGTTTTTAAACTCAAATCCAGTGGTTCTCAAACTTTAGGATCTATCAGAATCCCTTGGAGGGTGTGCTAAAACAGATTTCTGGGCCTCACACCCAGAGTTTCTGATTCAGTAGGTCTGGGCTGGGGTGGAGAATTTTTGTTTCTAACAAGATCCCAAATACTGTTGGTGATGCTCTTCCAAGGTCCACACTTTGAGAAATACTGTTTGCAAAGGGTTCCTGGACCCAGTTCCAGCGTGGAAGGAGGGAGAGCCGTTGCAGGATTGTGAGCAGAGGAGTAATGTAGTCTGACTTGTGTTTTAAACCGATCACACGTAAAATTGTTAACCCTCAGTGGTAAGTACAGTACCTTGTTTTTATTTTAAAAACTTAGTAAAATACATATTGTATATATTATTTGACATTGCTTTTTGTTATGGCTTGAATTGTGTCCTGCCCAAATTTATACGTTGAAGTCCTAATCCTCAGTCCCTCAGAACATGATTTTACTTGGAAATAGGGTCTTTGCAGATGTAATTAGTTAAGATCAAATCATACGGGAGTAGGGTGGGCCCCTAATCCTTATTTTAAAGACTAGTGTCTTTATAATAGGGGGAAATTTGGACACAGACACTATTATGGACTGAGTGGTGTGCCCCTAAAATTCATTTGTTGAAGCTCTAACCACCCAATGTGACTATATTTGAATATAGGGCCTTTAAAGAGGTAATTAAGGTTAAATAATGTCATAAAGGTAGGGCCCTAATCCAATAGGGCTGATGTCCTTATAAGAGGAAGAGACACTATGGATGTACACGCACAGAGAAAAGGCCACGTGAAGACACAGCAAGAAGCCGGCTATCTGAAGCCAAGGAGGGCGAAACCAAACTTGGTGACATCTAGATCTTGGGCTTCCAACCTCCAGAACTGTGAGAAAATAAATTTCTGTTGTTTAAGCCCCCCAGTCTGTGGTATTTTGTTATGGCAGCCCCGGTTGACTAAAATAGACACACATGTGAGAACACCATGTGAAGATAAAGGCAGAGATTGGGGTGATGCTCCTAGAAGCCAAGGAACACCAAAGATTGCCAGTAAACCACCAAGCTAGGGGAGAGATGTGGAACAGATTCTTCCTCACAGCCCTCAGGAGAAACCAACTCTGCCAAAACCTTGATCTCGGACTTTCAGCCCCCAGAACTGTGAAACAATAAATTTCTGATAAATTATGCAATTTGTGGTACTTGTTACCATAGTCCCAGCAAACAAATACACATTTTTTTAACATGTATTATCTCATTGTATACTTCCTAGTGTGACACTTTATTTCTTCTAAAAGAATAGCACAGAACACAGTAAATTTATAACACAAGTTATTTATATTGACAATTTATAAGTACATAAAATTAAGAAAAATGTATCCTGATGTGTTTTCCCAACAAAGACTTACATCTACCTCAATAACTAATAGTAGCAGTTATCGGTCCTGCTGAGACAGAATGAACCAAGGACTTTGAGGTTCAAAGAGCTCTGGAATTGCTGGAAGAAAGAGATTCTCAACTGGGGAAAGGGGAAACAGCAATAGCTGACATTGCCGACCGCATTTCTGTACTAGTTTTCTTTGCTAGTATCCACAGGAGGAATTTCTCTTGGGACTCAGTATCAGAACATTGGGCTTCTTCTGAAAATCTGTTTTATTTGTTACTACCCATTTCTATCCCATAAGGTAGAAATAGAGAAAAGAGAAATAAGAAGGGAAACTGAGCTCGGCTTTCAGGCTCTCAATGAACAAGCAGGAGGGGGAACACAGTTTGATTTCAAAGCGAAGCTCTGCATCCCACTTCGCATCCTTAGGCGGAGCCGCCTGCTGCGGGTGTGCAACTTCCCTTCACGCTACTGTTCCTGCACAGACGCGGGCAACTCTTCACCAGAGCGACACACGTGTCGTGTCAGGGTTTCCTGACACAGGAGCCACACTCTTCGCGCTAGCTACACCCTTGATCCCACCCGGCTGCCCCAGCCCTGAGCACAGCGGCGGCCCCACCCCAGCGCAGATCCGAAGTTGCGATCCCCAGGTCGCGGGCGGCGGTAACTGATCAGACGCTCCTTGGCACCGCCCCCCGGCCGCAGAGCTCCTCTGATTGGACGCGGCGGCGCCCGGCCGGCCAATGGTGCGGCGGCGGCTGGTTCCCGGAAGTGGCGGCTCCGTCAGCCGCCACCAGGGCTTCAGCGGCCAGCGTGGGGGCCAGTCAGTCGGGGTTGGCCGGCGCTATGAGTACTTTCGAGGGACAGATGGCCGAGTATCCGACCATATCCATCGATCGCTTCGACAGGGAGAACCTGAGGGCCCGCGCCTACTTCCTGTCCCACTGCCACAAGGGTGAGTGAGCGCTGCGCGCCGCCCTCCCCGGGCCGGGGGCTGCCGGTGCTGGCCCGCGGGGAGGTCGCCGGGGGCTGGAGCGAGGGGTGCGGGCTTCGGGAGGCCGGGGGACAGACCAGCAAACTGCACTCTGTCCCCTCCTGGCTCTCCAGCCTCTCTGAGGCTTTACTGATTTCCTCATCTGTACAAGGGACATAGCGACTGCCCGTTGCACCCCGACCCACGCCAATTTGATCAGGTACAACTATTCCGTTCTTTTGGAAGCTCTCCTAGCGGCCAGTAGTCAGAGGTTGGCGAGGATTACTTAGTTCTTCCCCCACATTCTCGCTACCATGTTATAAAGAAGTTTCAGATGAAATTCTGCCATGTCCCCAAACATGTATTAGCAAGCAGGCACACACACACACGCTCAAACGTCCCGTCCTTAAGCTTGACGAAGTGCAAGGTCCCCCTCCTTTTAGATTTTCTGTCCACATCCAGTATGAAAGGTTCATTTTAGTCTGGAGATGGTTTACCTCATAACAGCCAGGACTGGCAACTAGAATCCTAGGATTTCACAGCTGGACACCTTTAGGGATTAAGCCTGAAGTGTCCCCTCTAATGATATAGCTTGCGTGCTTGATACTCCCGGCTGAGCCCGGAGTGTCTCAAACATTTTAGCCAATCTCCAGAGCTGGAGTACCACTGATTTCACAACCATTGTCCATTTTTAGCATCTATTATGCTGACTAATAAGTCACTGACTTTAGCAATGAAAACTTTTAATATTCATTATGCTAATTAGCACAGCCTAATTAGCATTGATCAGGGATGAAGATAAACTGAAGCTCTCTGGTAGCTGCCTCTTGGAGTGTGGGCTTCCAGAGAAGTTTGAGTAGGATGCTCCCAACTACTCTTTTGAGGAGTGAATCAGACTAACAAACATACCACGTACACATCACAGGGTGTGATTGTAAGGTAAATTACAGATTTACTCATTCACCTCACAGGGGTGGTGTGATGATCAACTGTTGCCTTGCATTTCGATTCAATTACTTTAACCTGGTATAAATTGTTGAAGTCACTGCTTTTGGGAAATGCCACTGCTTTCTTGCTCAAAGCCACCAGTTATCTGTCCTTAGTGAGGAAAATTTGGACCTTTTCCCTCTATTTTCTAAATAGTCCAGGGAGCCTCTTTTGAGGGTTTTTTTGCTTATTCTGGAGAATAACCTTTTTGTTTTTGTTTGTGCTACTGGATGATGCACTTGTTTTTACCTTCTGTGTTGAGTCTCACTGGAGTTTCTGAACTCAAAACTTGATGGCCATGATTAAAGCATGGCTTAGCGCTCGCCCTTCATGTTTAGGAATAGTGAGTGTGGAGAAAGAATTCATCTAAAGGAATTTTGTGAAATCATCATCATTTGTTTGTACATTAAGCAAGAAATTGACTCCCTACTATCAAGCAGTTGATAACAACTTCTTGTTTTCTAATCACATGTGGGTCTGTTTACTCAACCCTGAGGGAAACTCATCGAGGGCAAGAACTCAACTTCTGCTTTTGGTGGTTTCCCACGTTGCCTACTCGTGGTTTTTAACCTTTCTGAGAAACAGACTTCTTTGAATATGCTATGAACTGAATCGTGTCCCCCTAGTGTGACTGTTTAGGAGATAATTAAGGTTAAATGAGGTCATACGGGTGGGGTCCTAATTCACCAGGCCTGGTGGCCTTAGAAGAAGAGGAAGGGCGATCTCTCTCCCTCCACACACGCGCGGAGGAAAGACCCTGTGAGCACACGGCAAGAAAGTGGCTGTCTGTGAGCCAGGAGGACAGTTCTCACCAGAAACCACCCTGGCGCCTTGATCTTGGACTTCAGCCTCCGTAACTGTGAGAAATAAACTTCTGTTGTTTAAGCCCCCCAGTCTGTGGCATTTTGTTATGGCAGCCTAAGCTGACTAGTACAGAATGTCTGACATCATCTATGGACTCTTTTGCTAGAAAACCTGCACATAAACATGTTAACATCACCTTTTGATATAATTTGGGGTGGGCGATGGACCCACTTGACGCCCATTGATGGGCCATCTGGAACCCAATGCTGTGCTCCAGTCAGGCTTAACTAAGCATCAGTCAGGCCCGAAGGACCAGAGAGGGCCCACAGCCTGAGACAGTGGCCCAGGGTTGGGGAGGACGCCTTCAGGAGACCACTTAACGGTGATTTATTCTGGTCAAGGGAAAAGAAAAAGGCCCTGCGAAGGAGATTCTGGGAGCAGTTCTAGCAGCGCAAAGTAAACTTACCCAGGTTCTCTTGACTGCCAGTCAGTCAGGAAGGGGCCTGAGGTCGGGGGGCTGGGATATCTTGATAAGACGGCTACATGGTGTGCCTGCTGAGTTAGTTTGGGAGCATGGAGCAGAGTCCTGGATCAGCCTCTTCTTTGCCATGGCGCAAACTCTCTGGAATCCTTAAATACTGAGGGTCTCACCCTTAGATGCACTTAAAAGCCAGGACCAGGAGTGACCTGAGGAGATTCACCCTCTGAGGGGGCAGGGGGACTGCCCTGTGGAGGCACATGTCCGGTCAAGGTTTGCCATGTGAGGTATGGTGACTGCCTCGTTTTCACTGGAGTTAAGGATTGCCACATATAAATTGAGGGTGTGTGTGTGTTGGTAGTTATTAGGATAATTAGAATTTTTTTTCTTGTAGGTTATTGTCAAGCTATTTAACATTGTCTCCCCCCCACGACTGTGCTTGACTGACTTTGCCTTAATCAAGGTTATTCTGAGTGAGGACTGGATCTGCTTGCTTCCAGACAAAAGCCAATCCATCAAGACGCAGGCAGTGGAGAGAGAAAACTTTATTTAAGCGGTGAGCTAGCTGATTGGAAGATGGTGGGCTATGGCCCCCCAAAAAACCCTCTTAAAGGGGAACTGATTTGGAAACAACTTATATAAGGCAAACGGGGTTGGGAGGGGGCTCAGGAGTGCCAGGTTGAATGACAGCAGACTGTTGGGCGCGCCTCGTAGACAAAAGTTTCAGATCTGTTGAATGTGACGTTCCTGAGGAATCTAAGAAAACATTAGTTATTTTCTTACCAGAGAGAGAAGGAACAGTTTGGGCAGAGGACTTAAATCTTCTGCTGACAAGTCATTCTCTCTACTGGTTACTGACTGGTTATGGATTAGCTGGCCTACCTGCAGTTCTAAGCATTGCTCCAAAGCACACTGTGAGATGGGGGGTGAGGGGGTGGAGGGGTATAGACATGGGTGTCTTATGCTAACTCTGTCTCAAAGGGTGGTAATTGGCAGTGTTTACATAAATTAATCAAATGCTTATGAAAGTAATTTTTAGTATATGATTTGAATAGGAAAAGACTTTCAACATCACCTGCTTGGTTCTAGTGTTTTCTAGTAAAATTAACTTTCCAGTAGCATTTATGTATTAACCTTCAAAGTGCCTGGAGAAAACTTATGCAAAAAGAATAATTTTGAATAATTTTGTTTTAATTAGCTTTAAAATTATTAACCTTATTACCGGCATTTAGAATCCTTTTTTTTTTTTTTTGTGGGGAAGATTAGCCCTGAGCTAACATCCATTGCCAATCCTCCTCTTTTTGCTGAGGAAGATTGCCCCTGGGCTAACATCCATGCCCATCTTCCTCTACTTATATGGGTCGCCACCACAACAAGGCTTGACAAGCAGTGTGTTGGTCTGCACCTGGGATCCGAACCTGCGGACCCTGGGATGCCGCAGCGGAGCACGCGAACTTAACTGCTGTGCCGCTGGGGTGGCCCTGGCGTTTAGAAATCTTATAGTGAAAATTGTTAATTTGTGAATAGACAGCAGTGCATTTCTTTTTTTTTTTAATTAATTTTCTTTTTTTTTTCTTTTTATATTTTGACCCCCTTCACTCATTTTGCCCACCTCCCACCCGCTGCCTCTGGCAACCACCAATCCGTTCTTTGTATCTATGAGTTCAGTGTGGGTTTTTTTTTTAGATTCTGCGTGTGAGATTATAAGGTATTTGTCTTTCTCTGTCTAACATTTCCCTTAGCATAATACCCTCAAGGTCCGTCCGTGTTGTTGCAAATGGCAAGATTTCTTTTTTATGGCTGAATGATATTCCCGTGTGTGTGTGTGTGTGTGTGTGTGTGTATATATATATATTTCTTTATCCATTCATCCATTGATGGGCACTTAGTTTGTTTCCATATCTTGGCAATTGTAAATAATGCTGCAGTGAACATGGGGATGCAGATATCTTTTTGAATTAATGTTGTCATTTTCTTCAGATCAATACCCAGCAGTGGAATAGCTGGATCATATGATAGTTCTATTCTTACTTTTTTGAGGAAGCTCCATACTGTTTTCCATAGTGGCTGCACCAATTTACATTCCAACCAACAATGCACAAGGGTTCCCTTTTCTCCACATCCTTGTCAACACTTATTTCTTGTCTTTTTGATAATTGCCATTCTAACAGGTGTGAGGTGATACTGCATTGTGATTTTGATTTGCATTTTCCTGATGATTAGTGATGTTGAGCACTTTTTCATGAACCTGTTGGCCATCTATATGTCTTCTTTGGAAAAATGTCTCTTCAGATCTTCTGCCAATTTTTTTGTTTGTTTTTTTTTTAGTGAGAAAGGTTAGCCCTGAGCTAACATCTGTTGCCAGTCCTCCTCTTTTTTGCTGAGGAAGATTGGCCCTCAGTGAACATCTGTGCCCATCTTCCTCTATTTTATATGTGGCATGCCTGCCATAGCATGGCTTGATCAGCGGTGCATAGGTATGTGCCCGGGATCCGGGCCTGCGAACCCCCGGCCGCTGAAGAGGAACACGAGAACTTAACAGCTACGCCACCGGGTGGCCCCCTCTTCTGCCCATTTTTTAATTGGATTGCTTATTTTTTTGCTGTTGAGTTGTATGAGTTCTTTCTATACTTTGGATATTAGTCCCTTATCAGATATATGATTTGCAAATATTTTCTCCCATTCAGTAGATTGCCGATGGTTTGCTGTGTGGTTTTATTATTTTGCTGATGGTTTCCTTTGCTGTGTGGAAGCTTTGTAGTTTGATGTAGTCTCACTTGTTTATTTTTGCTTTTATTGCTTTTGCTTTTGGTGTCAGTTTAAAAAAAAAATCATCACCAAGACCTATGTCAAGGAGCTTACTGCCTTTGTTTTCTTCTAGGAGTTTTATGGTTTCAGGTCTTATGTTCAAGTCTTTAATTGAGTTAATTTTTGTGTATGGTGAAATATAGCGGTCTACTTTCATTCTTTTGCATGTGGCTGTCCAGTTTTCTCAACACCATTTGTTGAAGAGATTATCCTTTCCCCAGTGTATGTTCTTGGCTCCTTTATCATAAATCAATTGACCATATATGCGTGGGTTTATTTCTGTGCTCTCTATTCTGTTCCATTGATCTATGTGTCTATTTTTATGCCAATCCCAAACTGCTTTAAGTACTGCAGCTTTGTAATGTAGTTTGAAATCAGGGGGTGTGATGCCTCCAGCTTTGTTCTTCTTTCTCAAGATTGCTTTGCCTATTCAGGGTGCTTAGTGGATCCATAAAAGTTTTAGGATTGTTTGTTCTACTTCTCTGAAAAAATGCCATTGGAATTTTGATAGGGATTGTGTTGAATCTATACATGGCTTTGGGTAGTATGGACATTTTAACAATATTGATTCTTCCTATCCATGAGCATGGGACATCTTTCCATTTATTTGTGTCGTCTTCAATTTCATTCATTAATATCTTGCAATTTTCAATATACAGGTCTTTCACCTCCTTGGGTAAATTTATTCCTGGATATTTTATTCTTTTTGATGTAATCATAAATGGGATTGTTTTCTTAATTTCTCTTTCCGATAGTTCATTATTAGTATATAGAAATGCAACAGATTTTTGCCTGTTGATTTTGTATCCTGCAGCTTTACTGAATTTGTTTATTAGTTCTAATAGTTTTTTGAACCTTTTGAACTTTTGAACTTTTTGAATTTTTATTTCTTTTCCTTGCCTAATCACTCTGGCTAGGGCTTCCAATGCTATATTGAATAAAAGTGGCAAGAGTGGGCATCCTTGTCTTGTTCCAGTTCTCAGAGGAATGGCTTTCAGTTTTCACCATTGAGTATGATGTTAGCTGTGGGTGTGTCATATAAGGCCTTTAGCGTGTTGAGATACGTACCCTCTATGTCTGCTTTGTTGAGAGGTTTTATCATAAGTGGATGTTGGATCTTGTCAAATGCTTTCTCTGCATCTATTGAGATGATCATGTGATTTTTATCCTTTATCCTACAAGGATGATATTTTATCCTTGTATCCTTTTATACACCAATGGTGTATCACATTGACTGGTTTATAGATGTTGAACCATCCTTGCATCCCTGGAATAAATCCCATTTCATCATGGTGTATGATCCTTTTAGTCTATTGTTGAATTCAGTTTGCTAATATTTTGTTGAGAATTTTTGCATCTATGTTCATCACAGATATTAGCCTGTAATTTACTTTTCTTGTGGCATCCATGTCTGGTTTTGGTATCAGGGTAATGCTGGTCTCGTAAAATGAGTTTAGAAGATTTCTCTCCTCTTCTTTTGTTTGGAAAAGTTTGAGAAGGATTGGTATTAATTCTCCTTTGACTATTTGGTAGAATTTACCAGTGAAACTGTCTGGTCTTGGACTTTTGTTTGTTGGGAGGTTTTTGATTACTGATTCAGTCTCCTTACTAGTAATTCTATTCAGATTTTCTGTATCCTCCTGATTCAGTCTTGGTAGGTTCTATATTTCTAAGAATTTATTCATTTCTTCTAGGTTGTCCAATTTTTTGATATATAATTGGTTGTAGTAGTCTCTCATGAGTTTTGTATTTCTGTGGTACCTGTTGTGACATCTCTTCTTTCATTTCTGATTCTGTTTTAGTCCATGCTCTTTTTTTCTTGGTGAGTCTAGCCAAAGGCTTGCCAATTTTGTTTTTTCTTTTCAAAGAACCAGCTCTTAGTTTCATGGATCTTCTCTGTTGTCTTTTTAATCTATATTTCAGTTATTTTTGCTCTAATCTTTGTTATTTCCTTCCTTCCACTAATCTTGGGCTTTATTTGTTCTTTTTCTTGTTCCTTGAGGTGTAAAGTTAGGTTGAGACCTTTTTTGTTTCTTGAGATAGGCATTTGTTGCTATGAACTTCCATCTTAGAACTGCCTTTGCTGTATTCCACAAATTTTTGTGTGTTATATTTCCATTTTTGTTTGTCTCAGTGTATTTCTTAATTTCTCTTTGGATTTCTTCTTTGACCCACTGGTTGTTCAGGAGCATGTTGTTTAATCTCCACGTATTTGTGAATTTTCCAGTTTTCTTCGTGTAATTAATTTCTAGTTTCATACTATTGTGGTTGGAAAAGATGCTTGATATGATTTCAGTCCTCTTAAATTTATTAAGACTTGTTTTGTGGCCTAACATGTGGTCTACCCTGGAAAATATTCCATGTGCACATGAGAAGAATGCATATTCTGTTGCTTTTGGATGGAATGTTCTGTATATATATCTGTTAAGTCCATCTGGTCTAACGTGTCACCTAAGGGCAATGTTTCCTTATTGATTTTCTGCCTGGATGATCTATCCCTTGATGTAAGTAGGGTAGTAAAGTCCCCTACTATTATCATGTTGCTGTCTATTTCTTCCTTTACATCTGTTAATATTTGCTTTATGTGTTTAGGTGTTCCAATATTTGCTTTATGTATTAGGTGTTCCAATATTTGCTTTATGTATTTAGGTGTTCCTATGTTGCGTGCATAAATGTTGACAAATGTTATATCCTTTTGTTGGAATGACCCCTTTATCATTATGTAATGCTCATCTTTGTTTCTTATTACAGTCTTTGTTTTGAAGTCTATTTTGTCTGATAAAAGTATAGCTATTCCAGCTTTCTTTTGGTTTCCATTTGGAATTGGGATAATTAGAATTGGTTTGATTTAACTAAAGAATTTACACGTTTGGTCATTGTTATTTAGGCCTTTGCATGCTAAAGATTCAGAATATATTAGAATGCACTATATATTTAATGTACTGTTTTGTTTAAATGTTACCTTTATTTAAATGTCATCTTTCTGTGTCTGTTAATTTGGAGAGTGTAGAGCAAGCCTCTGTACATGGTAATAACCCACCTTTCAACCTAGCCATCACCGTAGGCTGAGAAGATAATGAAACTCTTCTTATTCTGGCCTAAACCTGAGTGATTCCCTAGAGCACTCCATGGAAGCAAGCTCGAATTTTCAGATGGGCTATTTGGGAATTGAATGGGTCATAAGAGCATGGGCTGAAGGGTGGTTAGAGTGAAGTGAAAGATGAGAGTAAAGGAAAGTGCTGTAAGCAGTTCCAAATGAGACCCTGGTCACTCACTTTACTGTGGCTTCACAGAGTGATTTAGACTCTGCCCTAAGATGCAGGGGATCATTCGCCTTTACTTGGCTTCTCATGGCTCAGAGATGGTCAACTTTTAGTGGTTCCTGGCCTATTTTCAGAAGGATTCTTCACCTGCAGAAGAAAGAACCAATAGCACATCGGAATCAATTCTCTTATAAAAGTGAACCTCTCATATATTTTCTCTTAAAAAGAGACTTAAAAAGAACAGAAAACTCAGTTTCCCTGGGCCAAGGCATCCTCTGATAAAATAATATGTTTATGATTTTTGATTCTTTTGTTTTTAGATCACATGAAAGGATTAAGAGCCCCTACCTTGAAAAGAAGGTTGGAGTGCAGGTAATTTATTTTGCTACTTATTTGTCTTTGTTTTTTTTAAGTAAACATTTTAATTGAGCTGTAACATCTGTACAGAAAAGTACGTACATCATAAGGGAACAGTCTGATGACCTTTTGCAAGTGAACCATGAAGCTTCTGCCCAGATCAAGAGATAAAACAGTGCCAATATCACAGACCAGAGCCCTGTCCCTCGCCCAAGGGTAAACTCCATTCTGACTTTCGTCGTCATGGTTTAGCTTTGGTTGTTTTTGAACTTTATATGTAAGAGTCATACCAAATAGACTCTTCTATTTGTTTTCTTTCACTTAACATTACATTTGAATGATTAATCTGTGCTATTGGGTGCAGCAATGGCTTGTTCATTTTCATTTCTGTAAGTGTGTGTGTGTGTGTGTGTGTGAGAATGGGTGTTCCATTATAAAGAATAATATAATGTTGTTGGATCTTTTCTTAAAGCTGAACAATTGCATTCTTTTCCTGCAGCCATTGCCTAAATCTAAATTCCAAATTCTCAAGATATATATTTGGAAAGGACCTTATTGACTTTTTGACTTTTGAATCAATGTATATCAGGCTTCTCTGCTAAGTGATATTGATAGGCTGTGTTCTTGATAATGATAGCTAATATTTATTACATGTGTATATATATGTATATATATATATATATATATATGCTGGGCACTACATATTTATTAGTTCAGCAGTTTCTCTGAGTGCCTATGGTGAGTCAGACACTATAGTGGATGTTGAAGATACAATTGTGAGCAACACAGATGAAAATCCCTCTCTTCTTGGAGCTGACATTCTCGTTAGAGCCTCTTGATAATCTTTTGAATAGATACTATTATTATTTCTATTTTACAGATGAGGAAACTGAGGAACCAGAGAGGTTAAATTAGTTGCCCAAGGTCACGCAGCCAGTAAGTGGCAGGACCAGGATTTCAACCAGGTCTGTCTGAATTTAGAGCCTGTGGCTTAGTTATCTATGTTGCTGCGTAACAAATTACCCCAAAACTTAGCGACTTAAAACAACTAGTCATGTATTCTCTTTCTCAGTTTCTGTGGGGCAGGAATTCTGACAAGGCGTGGCGGGGATGGCTGGTTTCTGCCCAACTGAATGTCATATGGGGGCTGACATTATCTGAAGGCTCTTTCATTCAATGACTGACTCCTGGGTTGAGAAGACTCAAAGAGCTGGGGCTCCTTGGACATATCTGTCTCTAAGAAAATCTCTTGAGCATGGTGGTTTCAGGATAGCTGGACTTCTTAAATGGAGACTTGGGGCTTAAAAAGTATACATCCTAAGAGAGAGCTAGCAGGTAGCCATATTGCCTGGAGACCTATCCTTGAAAGACCTGCAACATTACTTCCATCACATTCTGCTGGTTAAGGCAGTTACGAAGGTCTGCCCAGGCTCAAGGGGAGGTTCAAATAGACCCCCTGGTCAAATGGAAGAATTTCCATGTCCATTTTGTAAGAAGAGTGTGTATAGATGGGATATATAATAGTATGGCCATCTGGAAGATACAGTCTGCCACAGACTATATTCCTAACTGCTAAGCTATACTGTTGAATTTTTAAAGTTTATTATGAAATTGATTTTTGCTTACTAAAAAAATAGAATAGGTTTATATGAAATAAAACACAGAAGTCTTCTGTCCCCCACACCTCCTTTCTGTTCTCCAGAGGTAGCTTAACGTTTGGTGGATCTTTCCAGACAAACCTGATCATGCACCAACATGTATCTTTAATGTAAGAATGGTGAGGGACACCTTTCTGATGGGGTCAGAGGACGCAGTAGTTTCTCTCATCTCCTTCTTCCCCATCATCCCTTTACACTCTCGATGGGACTGAGATAGTCATGGGGGTGGTGGCATGTTGGGAACGACTGTAACACTTTTTGTGCCAGCTCAGTTTCTGAGTAATTTGAGATAACTGATATATGATGAAACGTATCTCCTAGTCCCCCAGATGGCTTATTTTGGGTTGTACTGAAACAGATTTTTTTTTTGTCTTTTCCTTTCAGCTTGAAGGTTTATTTATACTGTTCGCCTGTTACTAAAGAGCTGTTGTTAACTAGCCCGAAGTACAGATTTTGGGAGAAACGAATTGTAAGTGTTATTTTTTCAACAACGCTAATTCTGTTTTTCAGGTGGGAAGTATTTTTCGAGGTAGATTGCACAAAGCATTGGAGTTATTCCAAGCCAGGTTCCTGACACATTGTAGTTACCCACATTAATTACCACGTTGATATTCAGTCTTTTGGAACTCAGCAGTTTCGAAGAGGTGGACATTTTATTGTTGTGGGTATTATTGTTGATTTGTTTTTCCTGTCCCTCAGCCGTTCCATCTGGCTTCTTAGTTTTGTTGAATCTCGTTGACTCTATTGCTAAGTTGCATTTTAATACTTTAAAGTATAAAAGGTTCATTAACATAATTGATAAATCCTTTTACTTAGGTCGTGGGGGGTAGATTAGGAAAAATAAACGTAACTTGTAGGTTATAATAAGAAAGGGGTAACCAGAATAAAAATAGGATGGATGACTTTGATTTCCAGCAGAATAAAATGGATCTATGCAACAGAAGGTAGATTGTAAGGGGAGAAAAACAAAATTATGGTAGGTAGAAAATGCAAAGACGGCAGAAAAAGTTCTGTGATGACAGTAATTACTATAAATATGAATGGATTTAATTCAACTCTTGATCAAAAGACAAATTAGCAGTTTGGGTTAAAAAAATAAGAAAGGTCTACCAGTTTTAGTCTACAAGAAACATAGATAAAACAAAAGGGTAAATGCAGGTTGAAATGGAAAAAAAAAAAAAAAAGAAAGAGATATACTAAACAATTAGAAGTTAAAAAGGCCAGAGTGGCAATTTTTATATCATACAAAATAGAATTGAAGGCAAAAAAAATCATAAGTTTCAAAGAGGATGTTATTTATTGTTAAAAGGAACAATGGATCAAGAAGATACGAACATCTATGCAATTAACAAAATAGCCTCAAACTGGGTAAAGTAATCAGTGATCACCAGGTGCTTGATCAGAGAAAGAGAACCACAGTGAGTGAATAGAATTTGGGTTCGTTATGTGGATTAAGCCTTAAATAATTGTGGGAGCTGGTGGAGAAGCCTGAACAAGTGTCATAAAGACTCTGTTTGATGTTCAACTGCTGACAGCTTTCAACTCCCACCTCCTCCTTCCCCTTCTGCCCAACATCTGGGCAAGCTGATACAAAAAGCCTACCCCTCCCTTGGTGCTGACATGAAGTTCAAACCACACAATCCCAGACCACCTCCTAACCACAATAAAAACCAGAACCACTTGCTCCTGCTCTCTCTCAGGCCACATGAGCCACTTCCTCCCAGCCTGGGTACTTCTCTCTCTCCCCAGAAAACCCCGTGATGTGAGTAATGCAGTGTTTTCATACCCTCTTCGTGCGTGTGCAGCATCGTCAGTCTCGACCTCCACCCTATCACTGGAGTGGGGTCCATTTCTCCTCCGCAGAGGGACACAACAGCAAGGCTGTAACCTTGGCCTTGATATTAGGCCTGAAGTTGCTATGGCCAGCAGTCAGAAAGGAAAGCTGAGAAAGACGTGGAAAAGAGCAGAGACAGGCTGGAATCTACAAGGGCAAACTGGAACCCTGTCTGTCTGTCAATCTTCCCAGCCTTGGTAATGCTGCCATCCCCTTTGCCACTGAGTTACGCACACCTGGCCCGGGACTCTGAGAAGCTGAAGGAGGATATCCAGCAGAAAACGGAATTGCCGCAGTCCTGCCCCGTGTCCGTGAGTTGAGCCAGCAGATCAACAGTGTACGTGAGCTGTCATAATTGCTGCCACCCTTCAGAGCATTAAAAAATGGCTGCTAGTTCACTTGTGCCTTCCAGATATCACTCAGACGTTTCTTGTGGCCAACCCTGACCTGGAAGTATACATGGAAGGGACTTCCAGGATAGTCCCTGCTCAGCTAAGCTGATGTAGTACAAGGCCACCTCACAATCTAAGAGAGAAATAGGCAACTCGACAGTTGTAGTTGGAGAGCCTACCACACCACTCCCAGCAAATGAAAGATGAAGGCGGCAGGAAATAAGTGAAGATACAAAAGCTTTGAATGACATACTTAATAAATGTGAGCTAAAAGAAACACAGAGTTTTAAACCCAGAAGAGGAAACAAGATCTTTGGGTGTATATGAACATTTACAAAAATTGACCATGTACTATGTCACAAAAGAAGTTTAAGAAATCCTAGGGATCTGTTCTCTGACCATAATGCAATGATGTTGGAAATCGGAAATAAAAGAAGAGCTAAAATCATCCCTTACATATGGTAACTGAATGCCTACAAGAAACAATTCTTAAAGAGGAAGTTGTAAAGAAAAATGTACAATACTTAGAACTGATGGACAACAAAAACATGGCATGTCAAAATGTGTGGACTACAACTAAATTAGTGCTTGAAGAAAAACCGATAGCATTAAATGCATTTCTTAGAAAACAAAAACTGGAAGTAAATGGAATAAGACTTCAACTAAATAAGAAGGAAAAGGAGCAACAAGGCAAATCTAAGGATTACATGGAAGAAGGAAATAATAAAGATAAAAGGGCAAGTTAATGATGTAGAGACTAACAACTACCACAGAAAATAAAAGAGGATTAAAAAAACTAAAAGCTGGTCTTTAGAGGAATAAAGGTAAATTTCTGCCAAGAATAAAAAAAAGAAGATGCATTTAAAAATACAGAATGATAAAAAGGAAAATAACTATTAATAACGGCAGTGCATTTTTTTTGAAAATTAATATGCTAGTATATTTGATAATTTAGGCCAAGTGGATAAATATCTGGAAAAGTAGGAAAATACCAAATGGATGCAAGAAAAGTGGCAAACTTGAATAAATCAGTAGCCATCAAAGAAATTATAACAATTTTCAAAGATCTCTTCTTCAATAAAGCCCCAGGCCCAGATGGTTTTATAGGTGTGTTTTGCCAGATGTTCAAAGAACAACTAATCCCTCTACTGGATGAGTTGTTATAGGATACGATAAAAAGATAAGCCACCCAACCCTGCTGGCAAAATAGATAATGGTGGTATGTGGGGGGAAAAGGCCATTTCATGTATGAACACGTGTGAACATCCTGATTTAATAGCTAACTGAATCTAACAGTATTAAAAAATAGTTGCATATGAATATGACATGTTTATTCCAGAAATGCAAGGATAGTTTCACAGCTGAACCTCAGTCACTGTAAGTTTTATGACATCAGCGGACTAAAAAGATGAAAAATTATGTTCCTTCTTTCATCAACTACTTATTGAATGCCTTTCTGTGTTAGTTGCTGTCCTAGTGAAGTGTGCAAGTCCATCTCGGAGCACGCTGCCGCAGCTCAAAATCTGTGAATTAGGCCCACATGTCGTGGCCTGATCCAGACTGTGTCCTGCAGCACAAAAGCTAAACACAGAGCACAAGACTACGTGTTTTACAAAAACTCAAGTTCAAAGGGAGAGGGAAATGGAGTAGTAGGGCTGGGGAGGTGCAGGGAGGAAGATAGAGTTCATGGCAATAAATTGCAGTGTCCAAAGATATATAAGGTTACAAGGCCTTTAATTCATATTGCCACATCAGCCTCAAGAAAGGTATTATTTTAGCTTTATCGTGTTTTTAAGCTGTTAACACATTTATTATAGTGAAATCAGGAATTGTTACCCAGAGAGTCTGAAACTTCTCTTAGTCCTCTTTCTGTGTTTGAGCTAGCAAAAGCATATAAAGCCATGAAAAACTGTGAAAATATATAATGTGATGTATACATGATCTCTTATTTTATTTTAATAGATATCAATTGAAATTGAAACTCCTACCCAGATATCTTTAGTTGATGAAGCATCAGGCGAGGTAACTAAATATTAAATATCGTGTTTTTAAAAATTATCTTTAGTGCTAAAATGATTATCTTTCTCTTTGATTTTGAATGCTCGTTTAACCATAAATAAAAATTATAGTAATTGAGTGAGTTTGTAGGGGGAAAAAACCATTTGTGACCTATTTATTTTCTGTATCCAAAGGATTGGACATGACTTCCGTCAGAATTGCTCCTTTTAAGTATTACATGCTAATGATGGGAACTCCAATTGTCGATATTACTTTGCGATATCATTGTCACATTTATTAAGTTTATTATAATGTTCAGGATATAAAATGGTGCTTAATATTTTTGCGACAAATTTATGTATATTGTGATTTTTTCTTCTGAATCATTTTCATTTTCAAGAAAAAGACACTGTCCAAGTGCATCCAATTTATTTTTGTCCTTAAATTTAGAAGCAGGTACTTTTGTGTTGTGAGTGTATTGTTTTAATAGTAAGTAGGACTATGGACATACCTGTTCTTTATTTTTTTCACTAGGGCTAGGAGGTATTTTCCTATTTTATGGCAAACCTAGTTAATATTTGTTCCACAGCCTGATTGTCACCTGCTTTGTTGACACGTTTAGCTCTGATGGGTGTCCTGTGTTGTGAAACTGATCAGACAGGGGCTGACTTTTCCCATTTCCTCTTTGGGGAAGATCAGGCATTTGATGTATCCTCATCAAATTATTGTCCTGAGGGGCTACTGCAGAGCCAGGTTGGGATGGGTTAAAAAGGGGGCAGAAAAGGATGGCCTGATCCTTCCTAAGTGCCATCCTGCACTCAGCTAACACTTCTGGAGACGGCTCTAATTGCCTTGCTGCCTTGTCACCTATAAAATTGGTGAAAGGCGTTCTCAATATTGGGCAGCAGAGAGCAGGCAGCTCTCTCTGGGCAGAGCCTTGCTGTCCCACTCTCGTCCTTCATGTTTCTTCTCATGCGCCGTGGCTTTTGTGCATGTGTGTCCAGCCTCAGCCAGTGGGAGACCCCACTTTAAGGGGCCTTTGGAGGAGTTTCCATCATCGAGTATCAAGCTGGCGTGTCCAGAGCTCGGCCCCATGATGTCCGTCAGGCTCTGCCCTCCCAGGATAGTCCAATGTGCAGTATGGTGATTTAGGACCAGGCTATATCAGGCTTTTTTTTTTTTTTAATAATAGTTTTATTGAGATATAATTCACATACCATACAATTTACTCCATTTAAACTGTACAAGTCAGTAGCTTTTAGTATATTCACAGAGTTGTGTATTCACCACCACAATCAACTTGAGAACATTTTCATCACCCAAAAAGAAACCCTGTACCCATTAAGTGGGCACTCCCTATTATTCCTCCCCACAACCCCTAGCAACCACTATTCTTCTCTAAGTCTCTATGGATTTGCCTGTTCTAGACATTTCATAGAAATGGAGTCATACAATATGTGGTCCTTTGTGACTGATTCCTTTCACTTAGCATAATGTTTTCAAGGTTTATCCATTTTGTAGCATGTATCAGTATTTCATTTCTTTTTATGGCCAAATAATATTCCATTGTATGGATATGCTGCATTTTGTTTATTCATTCATCAGTTGATGGATATTTGGGCTGTTTCTTCTCTTTGGCTAGCGTGAATAGTACTGCTGTGAACATACACGTACAAGTGTTTGTGTGGACGTAAGTTTTCATTTCTCTTGTGTACATACCGGAGAGTAGAATTGCTGGTCGTGTTGTAACTCCATGTGTTTAACCGTTTGTTTTGTGTGCAAGGATTCCACTTGTTTCCAGCATCTGAAGTGTGAGGAAATGAGGAGAAAAGGCATCCCACATTCTTGAGAAGTACCACATATGTTCTATTAAGGAGGGCTTTATTTAGCTGTGTCCTAATGATAACTTCTATTGTCATTATTTTTTCTTTATTTTCTTTTTAGAAGGAAGAGATTGTGGTGACTCTCTTACCAGCTGGTCATTGCCCAGGATCAGTTATGTAAGGGGGCTCATCTCTTTTGCCATTTTATTATACGTAGATATGTATTATCATTGTAGAAATAAATGTTTAGGGTCTAGAAAATCATATGTGTAGAGAGATTTGATTATTTTTTTACAGCAAGTTCTTTAATCTGTTTCCATATTGAACTTGGGAGACTGAGGTCAAGTTTAAAACATGGCTTTCTTATAATGGAAGTCTTCAATGGCTGTTTCTCCATTGGCTTTGCATTTTCCTATACCATGGATTTTTCTGTCCATGAGCAGGAGTGGTCTCAGTATATGGTTGGGAGTGCTAACATATTTCGGGGGACATCTATTGCAACTCAGTAGTATCTCCATTGTATTATTTTTTCTACCCCAGGGAATAGGGGGCTGCTGAGCACCTGGTGTGGTTTAGAGCTATTGAAATTCCATTAACACTGTACCAGGGTGGCTATGTTGGGCAGGACACATTTGCCATGGATTTAGTGTATATTTGCTTCATTAGGATTTTGTATGAGACTTAGAAGTCACTGAGATCTGTTTCCTTTTCAGGTTTTTATTTCAGGGCAATAATGGAACTGTCCTGTACACAGGAGACTTCAGATTGGCAAAAGGAGAAGCTGCCAGAATGGAGCTTCTGCACTCTGGGGGCAGGTACCGGGCTTTACATAATTCTCTAATGTAAGACTGCATCATTTTAAAAGTTTTATTGCTCTTTCCCCGTCAAACACAAAGCTGTGTTTCTGTTAGAAATCAAACTTGATTATAATGTTTGCAACAGTAAAGCAAACTTTTCTTCTTGAAACAGGGTGATGGTAACATTCTGGATGCTGACTGGTCAAAATTCACTGAACTGTAGATGCAAAAATCTGTCTTTTATTGTACGGAAATTATTTTCCAACAAAGTTGATGTAACAAAAAAATTCCAAATGGAATGGAACACCCTGTAAAATAACTGAGAGTTTAAATTTTATACATATTTTATTTCACATTAGATGATTGACACTAATTGGTTTTTTGTTTTGTTTTGTTTTTCAGAGTGAAGGATATCCAAAGTGTATACTTAGATACTACTTTCTGTGATCCAAAATTTTATCAAATTCCTAGTCGGGTAAGTCTTCCTGGAGGAATGGGGTGATCACCTGGGCATGGCCATATTTCTAGTAGGAAGTTTATAGGATAACAAATCAGATCATAATTGTCCCTATTGGCATTAATATCTGTAAATGTGGGGAATGGAAAGGGTAAGTGATGTTCTTAAAAGCGTTAAAAGCCTTTTAAAAATCCTGCCCAGGAGGAGTGTCTGAGTGGAATAGTAGAGCTGGTTGGAAGCTGGATCACTCGGAGTCCGTACCACGTCGTGTGGCTGAACTGCAAAGCAGCTTACGGGTATGAGTATCTATTCACCAACCTTAGTGAAGAATTCGGAGTCCAGGTACGGTGACGGCTCTTTCTTTCCTGTCGCTCCCCTCTATCCTCCCAACTTCACCTTTCCTGCCCCTCCCCGCCCCCCAAAACTGAAAACAGTAACAGATGGAAGCAACCTTTCCAAACATGTGCATGTGGCACAAGGTGGCAGCCCCTCTGAAGTAACGTCATCTTCGTTGACTCACTTCCTCACGGGAGGAATGGACAGTGGCCCAGATGGCTGAGAAGAGCCCTTGGGTGGAATGTCCATAAAGGAAGAATTTTCTCAAAGCTGTGGGTCGTGAAATGAATTTAGTGATGGTGACCAGCACTGACAGTAAATTTGAACTAGAAAATAGCTGAGTGTATTGCTTGCAGTCAGAGTGATTATTGTTTTGTGAAGATTACGTAGGGAATCAGACCCATGCGTATACATATGTGTACTGAGTTGCTGTGGAAAATGTATTTCTTACTGTGGGTCGTGGTCAAAACGTGTGAAAAACATTGTCCCTGAGCGCTGAGCCTCATGGCTGGATCCATATCAGATCCGGCTGGGAGGGAGTTTTCACCTGCCCTTCCACGTGGTTTGGTGCTGGGCTCTCCTGACCCAGAGCTGCAGAGCCCAGACTGTGTGAGTGGCTGCCCAGCGGGGAGCCGCCTTCCCATAGCGCTGACTCGGAGCCTGTGGCTTCTGTTCTTGCCCCCTAAGAGAAGATGGATTTTTGGTAACGACTCTGAACAAAATGAAGCGGTGGAACTAATTTGACATTTAATTTCCGCTTCGTTTTGTATCTTTTCATATAGATCCCCCGCTAACAAACTGGAGCCAAGGACTTAACAATTATACGCAACGTAATTTAGTAAAATAAAAAGGATCTAGTTTTTCTGCATCAGAAATTTAAAAAATTCCTCCCTCCCTTCCTCATCCCTTCCTTTCTTCCTCCCTCCTTTGCTTCCTTCTTAAGTCTTTACTTTGTAAGTCCTTCTTTCCTTAATTTCTTCCTTCCTTAAGACCTTCTGTCCAAATATATTGGTGTAAAGTTCCAGTTCTCCGTTTTGAAAAGGATTTGCTTTCATTCTGAGATGAATTTTTCCCTATGTTTTTCAGTGTTAAATGGCCTTTTAAATTAAAATCACAGGGATAATAGGCTGTGTACGCACACACACATACACTTAATCTATACTATCCACTATTTTTTTTCCTTATGTCCTCTCTTGGAAAAATATAAAAGTAGCAACCACTTATCAGTCCCAAATTTTTTGTCTTGTAAATTTTAATGGTGTGTAGAATTGAAAAGACCGAAGGCTCCTGCCTAGAGGCCTTTCGGGAAGACACCGTGGGCTGAGGAAGGGTTCCGAGGATGGAGGGAGATCAGGCCTCCGAGTCACCCTGGAGCAAGCCCTCTCTTCAGTCTATTAATCCCTTTGTAGGGGAGAGAAACAACTTTATATCAGGGATTTAAAAAACGAGAACAGTGAGGTTTTTGACTAAGGGACCTCAGAGATGATCACTGGCAACTTTTTCAGGCTTCCTCATTTTCACAAGGATGAAAGATTCCATATCTCTCTCTGTCCATCTCAGAATTTACCCCTTTTTATCTCCTTCTTAGAGAGGCCAGAAAAGCAAATTCATTGTTACACCTTGTTAGTTGTTAGTCAACAGGCCGTGAGATGAATAGGCCCCAAGATAGGTAAGCCGTGATGCTCGGATTCTTTTTATGCCTGTCTTGGTATTCATTACCACAGCAATTTCACATTATTCTAATCCGTTTTGTTATTCAGACTTCAAAATGAGAATAATTTTTTTTGTGCCATTTCATAATCCTAATAGCAATGTAGGTACTTGTTATTTACTTTGAGGTACCCAGAAGAGGAACTTTAAGTAAAACTGACACATTGGTTTTAACTCTTCAAAATGTATTGGCCTTAAAATTCTAAAGGTGGCCAAGGCTGGTTTTGTTTTTCTGCATCTGCTCTCCCCCTTTTAATCCAGTAGAGGTGTGTGGTAGGGGGGGATCTCGGTCTGCTTCCTAGTCCAGCTGCCCCCCACCCCCGGCTGCCTTATATGTCATGTTGTGTGCATGTCTTCATGACTAAGTGACTCTTGATTGTCGTTGTCTTCTGTGTTCACTGCTGTATACCCAATATTTAGGATAAAGCTTGACATATGGTAGGTGCACAATAAATAGTAACTAAATGACTCTTGATGGACTGAAGGACAGTATTAACATGATCCAGTGAAATCCACCCACCGCGTCTCCAGGACTTTTATTACCACCACCAACAGGCAGTCACGCTGGCTGGTGGGAATATGACCTGTGACCTTTGCCTGTTGACATCCTGGCAGAATACTGACATGCATTGAAATAGCCAAACACTCGGTTTCAAGACAGAAGACAGAGTTAGTTCACTAACTGGATGGTTCCCCTGCATAATTATGCTTGAACAATTTGTTTCTAGGAAATACAATTCAAATAATATGCTTATATGTGTTATTTTCCTCAGATTCATGTGGATAAACTCGACATGTTTAGAAACATGCCCGACATTCTTCATCATCTCACAACAGACCGTTGCACCCAGATCCATGCATGTCGGCATCCGAAGGTACGTAGTAAATTGTTGTTCTTACTGTTGGTGTGATCCATGAAAACCAGAATTTTAGGTCCAGAAGGAACCTCAGAAATTCCATTTTCTAGGCTCTTCAATTTACAAATGTAAAAACTGAGGCTGAGAGCCTAAGTTATTAGCCCAAGGTCAGGCACCTCTACATTACTGTATTCCATTACCATGAACTTCATACTTATTAAATAGACCCAGATACTTATAGGTTTTTAGTGAAATATATTCATACACATTTGATACATGTTTATTTGTAATGAATTATGTACTGAATGATTTATTTTTAATGAAATTAGTAATACGTTAGTCCTTATAATTTAAGAAAACATATTCACAATCCATTGCTATTTATTTTTGAGACTCATGAGATGTGTACGTTTATAAACTTTATTTTTCTTCTACTCATTTGAGATAAATATCTAGATATAACTTTGCTTCGCATTGTGAAATAGTTACATGTATTGCTGGTCCAATTTCAAATGAATGTTGCTGGTGTCTTTGCAACTGAGTTGTAATTTGTTTTCTAATGTCACCCTAGAATTCCCTTCTCTTATTAAATGCCAGGTATTAAATTTTGAATTTGCCTTTAAGATTGTTTTTCATTTTAATTTATGTAGTCATTCAACGTCACTAATACCAATTAGTGATCTTCAAATGCAGTGTATGCGTGATCATAATTTTCCTCTAAATTTTAAAATATCTTAGCATTTAAATGCTGAGTAATTTTTATTTTAGTAAACACTGCATTTATACATTTAGATAATCATTGTGGTGGTAATATTGGCTCCATTGGCCAAAAAACTAAAGTAAATATGCTCAGCCCTAAAATAAAGAATAATTAAAAAAAAAAAAAAGAAGAATTCTTATCCATAGCATGGAATATTCTACTTCAGACCACTGTAGTAAAGCTACAGTGTAGGAGTATAGTACACACACACACGCACACACACACACACACACACACTGAGTTCATGGATGGATAAAAATAATGCAGCTATAAAACAGAAACTGTTTTGTCCTTTTTCCATGGGACTTACAGTCTTTGGCCCCCAGCTCCCATAAATTTTTTTTTTTGCAAGGAAAGATTCGCCCTGAGCTAACATCTGTTGCCAATCTTCCTCTTTTTTTTTTTTTCCTCCCCAAAGGCCCAGGGCATGGTTGTATATCCTAGTTGTAGGTCCTTCTAGTTCTTCTACATGAGCTGCTGCCACAGCACGGCAACCGATGGACAAGTGGTGTGGTTCTGCGACCAGGAAATGAACCCGGGCCACCAAAGCAATGACAGCACCCAAACTTTAACCACTATGCCATCAGGGCTGGCTCCCAGAAATCTTTTAATTGGAAAATTTCTTTTGCTCTGAATTTTCTCACATCTTAATGTGGCTTAATTTGTAACTGCTACTCCTGCTCCTGTCATTTCCCATGTTGCTACTTGCCTTGAAACACTCCTTATAGCAGTTTAAGATACTTCTTAGGCATATACCTTAAAAATACCGACAGAACACAGCCTGCAGAGCCCTGTAGCACTGTCATCCCAGCCTTTTAACAAACAGCACCCACGGCGCCTGGTCACATTTGATTGGGATCGAGTGCTAATGGTTTTGAAGGATTCTTATCAAAACCTCATGTTGTTGGGAAAATAGTCCCGTTGTTTTTCAACCTTTTGAAAACACTTCTGTTACTTTTTTCTCCAATGTTATTTTGAAAAATTTTAAAACAGTCAAGTTGTAAGACCAAAGAGCACCATGTACTCTTTGTCTGGATTCCCCTGTTTGTTAACACTTTGCTACATGTGCGCCCTTGTGCCCTCTCTCCGTCTCTCTGTACGTGTAACAAGCACCCCTCACCCAACTCATTTGAGTCAGTTGCAGATTTCACGACTCTTCACCCTAGACCTTCAGCACGTAGCACTGGAGAACAAGGATGTTCTCCTATATAACCACAATGCAGTTCCCACAGCCAGGAAATTTAACATGGATACCATACTATTGGATATTATCTGGTCTATATTCAGATTTCCCCAGGTGTCCCAATAGCACCCTTTATAGTTTGTGGAGGGGGAGCGGGGTGTCCAGCATTTAATTAAGAATCATATGTTACATTCACTCAGGCCTCCTTAGTCTCTCTTGATATGGATAAAGTCTCCTGCCTTTTCCTTTTCTTTCATCACCTTGGTATTTTTGAAGAGTTCAGGCCATTTGTTTTGCAGAATGTTCCTCAATTTGGAATTAAATCATTTGATTGTTTCTTCATGTCTACATTTTTTTTCAAGTCTGAAAACTTATCTGCATTTGTTTTTGAGACCCTGCCTACAAACAGATTTGTTGAAAATGTTGAACTGTTTTTCTATATTTTTTAAATCTTTTTCAGGCAGAGGAATATTTTCAGTGGAATAAATTACCCTGTGGAATTACTTCCAAAAATAGAATTCCACTCCACACAATCAGCATTAAGCCATCCACTATGTGGTTTGGAGAAAGATCCAGAAAAACCAATGTAATTGTGAGGTAAGAAAGCAGTGTCATAGGTCTTTTGAGAGAAGCCTTGATCTGAGTTAAATTGTCTGATTTATTTTAGTTTAAATACAGTCTAGCTTAAGACCAAGAAGAGGATATATTATAATTGTGGAAAATAACTTCTGAAATTTAAACTAAAGAGATGCTACTTCCAAACCTATCTAATGGCTAATACCATTAGCCAGCATTTCCTGAGGTCCACTCTAGTTAGGTAGATAAGATGGGTAGAGACTGAGGGTATCTTGCTTGGCAAGGAGTCATAAATTGATGTCATAGGGAATAGAAGCCCTTGGTGGAGTAGGGAAGTACCATAATCATATTTTAGCCACATTTCCTTCATACTGGCTGTTCAGAACGTCTACAGATATTTATATTTCTAGAAAGAGATTTATTCTGTCCCAGGAAGAAATTCTTGATTGTAGGGTGATTTCATACTGGAGTAGCCCATATGGGAAGGCTCGAAATTTGGGACTTAGCTTAGTTTTTGATAAGTGACCTTTTAATTTTGTGTTTCCGTTTCCCCTTAGGACTGGAGAGAGTTCATACAGAGCTTGTTTTTCTTTTCACTCCTCCTACAGTGAGGTAAGAGGATCCCATATACTCAGAACCCGATTGCCAGCCGCCCGGCAACTTCATGGTAGTGAGCAATAGTGCCCTTGACTTCCAGAGGCATCTCTGTTTCTGCTGCTTAATATTTGTTGTGGCTTTTCCTAAAGAAATGTAGGGAAGATATCTCAGGGGACGACCTATATTTACTAAGTACAAAGGAACTTGCTATTATCACCTGTTTTCAGCCTAAACATTGAAGAATATGTATGATTAAGGTTTTCTTCCCATCTTGCTTTCTAAATGTACTTTAACTTCTCCACTTCAGTTGTTCTGTTCACCTGTCATAAAAGAATCATAACTCTTATTTGAAGGAGTACTACAGGTAAAATCTCATTATAGGCAGCCTTAAGGTACTGTTCACATTCTTGGCCTCTTCCTAAATTTGATTGTACTGAAACGCCATTTAAAGAATAGTCCTGAATATTCAGCAATGGGGAAGAACAAAAATGGCTGAGATACAGACCCTGTCCTGAAGAAGGATATAGTATAGTAGAATTACTCAGTTAAAGAGAGCTTAAAATAGTTTCGTTATGCTACTTTTTATATAGGAAATTGACCTACTAGAATTGGAACTTGATATGTGTAATTTATGTGCAAAGTCCTCATGCATTTCCAAAGTAAGTGCTAGCATCTTACAAGTGCAGAGATTCAGTAATTTCATGTATTGGAGAAAAAGCAATATAAAAGCAGGCTTTTTATGACACTTTGTCATATATAATTTTAGTTTTGCCATTTCTGCCCTTAAAAATCCATTTCCTGGATAACTATTATTTTTGTATTTGGGACACATGGATATAGGTCTGCAGCAGTGAGCTGTGGATGTGTTAATGATTTGAATGGGTGGAATCTTCCAGAGCTCCAGGTAGCGGCATTCTTATCAAATCAGCCATAATATTGTAAATGATTCTTTATCAATTATCAAAATATCACAGTGACATCTCTATTAAATAACGGACCTTAACTTGCAGGTACAAATAGGTTATCTGAGAGCAGCTTGGACGTAGTTCATTTGATGGTATAAGTTAGTTAATGTTTTCTGAATCAATTTATCCTGAATCTTAGGGTGTTGTCAGAGCCCCTTGCTGGTGATGTGTCCGTGGTTTGGCGTCTGGCTCAGCGTCAGGGGCTGAGACAGAAAGTCTCAGCCACAGGGAGGCCACCTAACCGGGAAAAAGGCTAGGCCCTACTTTTTCAGTCAAAACTCTTCCTCTCTTTTATTTCTCTTCTTCCATGTAGTCAGCAGCCAAGTTGGGAAGCACAAACCCTCCTGGGATTTCATAAAATTACCTCCCAATAAGGAGGTGTTTCCCTGCCACTTGGGTCAGAGATGACACAGCTGACCCGACTCTCTTCCCCCCTCCTTAGATTAGGGCGAGTGTTGCGCACGTGGTAGGGTTACCCTGCGCTCGGCTTAGTCTTCTTTCAGAGCGTCTGGTGAGAAAGGGAGAGGCTTTCCTGAAAACTGCTGTAATTATTAGGCTTATATCCTATATATAGAACTGGAACTATATTTAAAAACGTAAATAGTAGACTTAAATATTTCCTTTCAGTTTTTTTCTAAATACAGTTGATCCTCATTATTCGTGGATTCCTCATTTACAAATTTGCCTACTCGCTAGAATTTGTTGGTAACCCCCAAATCAATACTCATGGTGCTTTGTGGCCATTTGCAGACATGCACAGCAGAGCGGTGAAAAATGCGTCTCCCGACATGCACATTCCCAATGCAGGTCGAGCCAGGTGGCACCCTGCCTTCTTGTTTCAGCTCTTATATTCAGTTACTGACAACATTCGTCCTTTTCGAGGTCTCTTGAGTGCTGCGTTTTTCATATCTCTGTGCTCTTTGTTGGTGATTTCAGTGTTTAAAACAGCCCCCAAACGTAGTGGTGAAGCGCTGTGTTCCTGAGGGCAAGAAGGCGGGGATGTGCCTTAACGGAGAAAATACATGTGTTTGATGAGCTTGTTCAGGCCTGAGTCTAGTGCTGCTGGCTGTGAGTTCACTGTTAATGGATCAACAATGTATATTAAGTAAGATGTCTTTAAATAGAAACACATAAAACAAAGTTATGTATTGGTGGGTTGGCAACAATGCTGTGAGCCGGAGTTCACAGGAACCCTGTATTTCCCCTGGGAGCAGTGGTTCGGTGTTGGAGGTGACTTTATAGAACATTACTGCAAATAGTGAGAACTGACTGTGTTAATGAGTTGTTTTAAGGCAGGCATCTGATGAAAGGGCATCGACTTGTACGAGAGAGAGACCTCTCCTGGGTGTCTCTCTTCTCTTTGTGGCCACTTCATCTCTGAGTGGAAGAAGTGAATTGTTTCTGGTATAGGCTTGACCTTACTTTCTTTATCTTTATTCCCTTCAAAAGCCTCAGATTTCTCCCAGCCTCAACTTTGGGTGGATTATGCAAATCATATAGGTTGCAGGCAGGTATACAATGGTTTCTATTTGTATGCCTGCTCTGAAAGTATGAAAGAAATGGTTTATGAAAAATATCTGATGAATGGATGTTCCTGTCTTAATTAAGGAGCCATTTTATTTTAATGTGGAGTTATTGATAATTCCTGGGTTCCTACCTCTTTTGATTTGGTCCTTTATTTGAAAACGTCGGTACTAATAATTACTTTGTGCCTTAGTCTCTCCCTTTGTAGAAGGGAATAAAAATCTTCGTGTTGTCATGATCAACTTAGTAATGGATAATTTTATTGAATGTTTAACCATGTGCCAGGTACCAGACTAAGTACTTTACATGCGTTATCTCATTTGTACTTTTAGATGAAGAATCTAAGACTTAGACACTTAGGTAACTTGACCGAGATCACAAGCTCACCAAGATCTTATTAATAAGTGACAAAGCTGATGCCGTCTGGGTTGTAGAGATGTTTTGAGGAATAGTGACAGAGTTCCTCTGTTTAGCATTCTGAGCTTGGCAGAAAATCAAGGTATTCATGAAATTTTTTCATGTAATTGTCCTTGTTTAGATTAGAACAAACCATTAAAGCAAATCAAGGAAACTTGAAGATGCAATTCCCTTGGTATTGCTAACAATTATTTGTCGGAGGAGAGAAATGCAATCTAAGACCTTGTTTTCTTGTGTGTATTAAATACACAGCTAAATTCTAACTTACCAGAAGGGGCTTTGTTTAATGTGGCTGACCTTCTAAGACAAGGAAACTAATGTCACTTAAAGAAATACAGAATCTTTGAATCCCATTCATGAGCGATTCTTGGTCCCTTCTGTGGAGCAGAATGCCCTGAAGAATGGGTAAATGTACTGTTTCCTGGGCCCCACTGTGCTCAGTGTTAAAAGTGTCTTTGGGGGCGGGGCGTGAGTGTTGAGTGTGTCTTTTTCCTAAGAAGTGACCCCATGTGCAGCTGGGGCTGAGAACCACAGCCATGGGAGAGTTCTGCTTCTCATTCCCCTGGCTTCCCTTTAGCTGTTCTCTAACACCCAGATTTTTTACCTTCCAGATAATTGACCCATTTTATTTTCCTTCTTCTAGATTAAAGATTTCTTGAGCTACATCTGTCCTGTGAACGTATACGCAAATGTCCTTCCAGTAGGCACAACTATGGATAAAGTTATAGAGAGGTGAGTAGTTACTGTTCGTGGAACTTGGGTTGTTGAATGAGATGGACCCAGAGAGTAGTTTTGGGCCTGAGAACAGAGGCAAGGATGTGAAACAGATGTGGCTGTAATTATGTTTCTGGTTGGGAGCATAAAGGCTTTCTTCAAGTGGTTATGTTATATATAATCCTAAAGGCTGCTGGGAATCTGGCATTCCACAGTTGGCAATGAGGCCCTGGACAAAGGGCAGGAGACCCTCAAATCTTATTTCTGTGCCCTTTCATATTTTATCTTCACTGTGTCTTAGCTTTCGGCCTCTAGAGTGAAGAAATCAAATTGGTGAGATTCTTGCAAGAGAGAAGTAACCCCTATTAAACAGAGAAGGGGAAGCAGCTAGCTGTCTTGTGTGCCCTGAGTGCCAGAAGTGTCACTGTGTGACTTGATGGTGTTTTAGGACAGGGACCTGCTTTTCTGCAGTGCAAGAGCAAAGATGTGAGTTTTGCTTTCCCTCCATCCTACAGTTACATAGATATCTACCAGGTTATATTTAAGTGCTTACATTTACCAGTTTATTATATTGAAGTGATTTTTAATTATTAAACATTGTTTTTCAGTTTTTAAAAGTAGTTGTGTGATTTCCCCCATGGTCACGTTTTTATAATCTCTATAAATGATGCTTACATTCCAGCAGCTTTCCCAACAGGAAAAATAAAGTATTCATATTCATTTCAGCTTAAAGCCTTTATGCCGATCTTCCCAAAGCACTGAGCCAAAGTATAAACCACTTGGAAAACTGAAGAGAGCTAGAAAAACCCACCAAGACTCAGGTGAGAAGAATGACCCTGGTTCAGAGGTGGGGGTTTCCCTGCAAGGCTGCTTTTCAGGGTGCTCATCTGGTGACAGCTGCATGGCGTGGAGCTGGGCGTGGGACCCACTGTCACTCAGACTTGTCACATGGTATCAGGAAATGCTTTGCCTTCCTGTCTCCAATCTGTAAAATCAGGAGTCCGCTCTCCTTCCCAGGCTTAAAACATGTGGCAAAGAGAACTGTGCCTGTATTAAATGGTGTTCTCAGCTTTCTGGAAATATGCCCTGCGGTTTGTGTAGGCCATGAGGACAGGCTGTGCTGTTATCCTTGAACCTTTCCTTCAAGACACTAGTACATGCTGATAATAGGAACTCTTGCCATCATTCCCATCAGATTGATCAGTAGTGCTTACACAAATGGATTTTCTCCAGACTTTCCTACCTTCTTTCGTTGCTACTGTCATTTTCCAGCGAAGAGCAGAGGTAAGCTCTGAGGCAGAAACCAGAACTTCAGAGTCTGAGCGAAGCTCTGCTGCTGTACAGCAGCCAGCTTTCGTGGTGAGGATTCTGGATTTTCATTGCTTTTGTGGAGAGCCAGTTACGTATCGTAGAGCTAAGACATGACCAAAACATAGTAGATAAGAAAAGATAATATTTATTGTGCACCTACTGTATGGCAGGTATTGTGCCTAGGTCCTTTACATATGTTAGGGCTAAACCTCAAAACCAACCCACAAGGGGCATCATCCCAGTTGTACCAACAGGGGAGCTGAAGCTTAGAGTGAAGTAAGTCCCCGAGGTCCAGCCAGGAGGAAGTGATGGGGCTGGGTTCTAATCTAGGCCTGTCTTTCTCATCTCCATTCCTGCATTTCCTCCCATTTAGAATCTAATTGAAAAGCATTTAGATGCCAATTCAGGACTGATACAGTAAGCCTATTTTGTGTCTGAAAGAAAGCACATTTGTTTTTGTTTCAAGAATTAAAAGGTTCTAGAAAAACAATTCCATTAATTTCAAATGTTAAATCTATCATGTAATACATCTTTTAATCCTTCTCGTATACAAACTTAATTGTAGGTTTTTTCAAAGCAGCTTTACTGAGGTGTAATTGATATAATATAAATTGCATTTAAAGTGTCCAATTTGATACATTTTTCCATATGCATATATTTGAGAAACCATCACCATAATTAAGATAATGAAAATGTCCATCACCCCCAGGTCTCCTTGTGCCACTTTGTAATTCCTCCCCACTGCCCTTCTGTGTCCTCCCCCATGCCAAGGCAACCACTGATCTGCTCTCTGTCACTATAGATTAGTTGGCATCTTCTAGAATTTTCTATAAATAGAATCACACGGTATGTCTGGCTTATTTCATTTAGCATATTTATATTGAGATTCATTCATGTTGTTGCATGTATCAATAGTTCATTCTTTTTTATTGATGAATAGTATTCCACTACATGGCTACACCACCATGTGCTGATCCATTCCCCTGCTGATGTACGTTTGGTTGTTTCCAGTTTTTGGTTATTACAAATAGAGCTGCTACGAACATTCATGTACAAATCTTTGTATGGACTTACGCTTTCCTACCTCAGAATGGTTCATATGGTAGCTGTAAAGAAACTGCCAAATTGTTTTCCAAAGTGGTTGGACCATTTCGTCTTCTTGCCAGCTTCCTATAAGAGTTCCGTTGTTCTACTTGTTGCCAGTATTTGGTGTGGGCAGACTTTCAAAAATTTTAGATATCTAATATGTGTGTAGCAGTATCTCCTGGTTTTAATTTGCAATTCTCTAATGGTAGTGAGGTTGAGCATCTTTTAATGTTCTTATCTGCCATCTATGTGTCTTCATGGGTGAAGTCTCTGTTCAAATCTTTACCCATTTTTTAATTGTTTAGTTGCTTTCTTATTATTGAGTTTTGAGAGTTTCTGAATACAAAGGTTTTTTTTTTTTTTTTGTGAGGAAAATCAGCCCTGAGCTAGCATCTGATGCCAATCCTCCTCTTTTTGCTGAGGAAGACTGGCCCTGGGCTAACATCCGTGCCCATCTTCCTCCACTTTATATGGGACGCCGCCACAGCATGGCTTGACAAACAGTGCGTCGGTGCGCGCCCGGGATCCGAACCTGCGAACCCCGGGCCGCCGTAGCGGAGTGTGCGCACTTAGCTGCTTGCGCCACCGGGCCGGCCCCTTGAATACAAGCTTTTACTCAGTTACATGCTTTGCAAAGATTTTCTCCCAGTCTTGGCTTATTTTTGCAATCTTAACAGTCTTTTGAAGAGGAGAAATTTTAAATTTTTTTTTTTTTTGTGAGGAAGACTGGCCCTGAGCTAACATCTGTGCCCATCTTCCTCCACTTTATATGGGACGCCGCCACAGCATGGCTTGAGAAGTGGTGTGTAGGTCCGAACCTGGGATCCGAACCTGCGAACCCCGGGCTGCCGAAGCAGAGCACATGAACTTAACTGTTATGCCACTGGGCTGGCCCCAGAAATTTTTAATTTTGATAAGGAATTTTTACTTTTTTTGGTATAGTAGCTAAGAAATCTTTGCTTGACCCAAGGTCACAAAGATTTTCTCCTGTTTTCTGGTAGAAGTTTTTATAGTTTTATGTTTTACATGTAGGTCTGTGATCCATTTTTGAGTTATTTTTTATATATGGTATGAAGTACAGATCCAAGATAATTTTTTTTTTGCATGTGGGCATGCAAAACCATTTGTTGAAAAGATGATCTTTTCTCCACTAAATTGTCTTTGCACTTTTGTTGAAAATCAATTGACAATATATGTGGGGGCCTATTTCTGGACTTTCTGTTACATTCCATGATCTCTATCTTGACACCAGTAGTGCCCTGTCTTGATTATTGTAGCTTTATAAATCTTGAGATTAACTGATGTAAGTTCTCCAACTTTTTTGTTCTTTTTCAAAGTTGTCTTAGCTAGTCTAAGTCCTTTGCGTTTCCATATGAACTTTAAAATCAGCTTGCCAATTTGTACAAAAATATTCACTACTGGGATTTTGATTGGGATTGTTAAATCTGTTGATCAATTTGGGAAGAATTGACATCTTAATAATATTGAGTTTTCAGATCCATGAACATGGTATATCTCCATTTATTTATATTTTCTTTAATTTCTCTCAGCAATGTTTTGTAATTTTCAGTGTAAAGGTTTTGCAAATCTTTTGTTAGATTGACTCCTAAATATTTCATTTTTTTGATTCTATTGTACATAATATTCCTTTTTAAATTTCAATTTCTGATTGTTTGTTGCTATTATATAGAAATACAATTGATTTTTGTATTTTGATATTGTAACTTGCAACCTTGCTAAGCTCTCTTACTATAGTGGCTTTTTTGTAGATTCCACTGCATTTTCTACAAAGATTATCATGTTGTCTGTGAATATAGACAGTTTTACTTTTTCCTTCCCAATCTTGATGCTTTTTTCTTTTTCTTGCCTTATTGAACTGGCTTGACTTCTACTACAGTATTAAATAGAAGTGTCCAGGGTGGACACCATTGCCTTGTTGCCAGTCTTGGAGGGAAAGCCTTCATTCTGTCACCATTGAGTATGATGTTAGCCGTAGGTTTTTCATTGATGCTTTTCGTCAGGTGGAGGAAGTCCCTTCTATTACTAATATTCTGAGAGTTTTTATCAAGAATGGATATTGGTTTTGTCAAATGCTTTTTCTGCATTTATTAAGATGATCATATAGTTTTCCTTTTTTAGTCTGTTAATATGGTGAATTACACTGATTGATTTTCAAGTATTAAACCAACCTCTCATTTCCAGAATAAACCCCATTTGGTTGTGATGTATTATCCTTTCTAGCTATTATTTGACTTGATTTGCTAAAATTGTCATAAGAATTTTTAAATCTAGGTTGAGGAGGAATATTGGTCTTTTTTCCTGCAGTGTATTTGTGTAGTTTTGGTATTGGGATATTGTTGGCCTTGTTGTGACATATTCCTTTATACTCCATTTTCTGGAACAGTTTATGAAGAATTAGCATTATATCTTTCATAAAGGATTAGTAGAATTCACCAGTGAAGTCATCTGAGCCAGGAGTTTTCTCTGTGGGAAGGTTTTTAACTACAAATTCAATTTCTTTAATAAATATAGGGCTATTCAGATTCTTTTTTCTTGAATAGCATTGGTAATTTGTATCTTCCAAGAAATTTGTCCATATCATCTAAGTTGCTGGATTTTTTGGCATAAATTTGTTCACGATATTCCCTTGCTATTCTTTTAATATCTGCAGAATCTAGTGATATCAACTCTCTCACTCCTGATACTAGTAATTTTTTTTTGGTGAGGAAGATTAGCCCTGAGCTAATATCCGTTGCCATTCCTCTTTTTGCTGAGGGCTAACATCTGTGCCCATCTTCCTCTACTTTATATGGGATGCCTCCACAGCATGGCTCAAAGTGGTGCATCAGTCTGTGCCTGGGTTCTGAACCTGCGAATTCCGGGCCGCTTAAGTGGAGTGCGCAAACTTAACTGCGATGCCACTGGGCTGGCCCCAATATTACTAATTTTAATTTGTGTTTTTTCTGGTTTTTCTTGATCAGTCTGTTAGCGGTTGGTAATTTTACTGATCTCAAAGAACCAGCTTTTTTATTTTTTTTTTTTGTTTTCTATTTCATTGATTTCCACTCTGATCTTTCTTCCTTTCATCTGCTTACTTTGGGTTTATTTTGGTCTTCATTTTTTAATTTCTTAATGTGGGAGCTGAGGTCATTGATTTGAGACTCCCTTTTTTTTCTCCTAATATGATTCCCCCTTTAATTGTTATCTCACAAATTTGATTTGTTTTCATTTTCATTCCGTTCAAATATATATATATTTTTTTTGTGTGAGGAAGATCAGCCCTGTGCTAACATCTGCCAATCCCCCTCTTTTTGCTGAGGAAGACTGGCCCTGGGCTAACATCCATGCCCATCTTCCTCCACTTTATATGGGACGCCACCACAGCATGGCTTGCCAAACGGTGCGTCGGTGTGCACCTGGGATC